CGCGACCTCAAGAGTGAGTTTAGAGTGATCAAGGACTGCTGTTTTTATTTTTAGACTTGCTGCTTTTATTCCTGTTCATGTAACACACTTTGAATTACCATCGTGTATGAAATGTGCTATATAAACAATCTTGCCTTCATCCAAGATATTGGTGCTTTTCTTTCCTCAGATTAAAGATGATTTGGAGCTGAATCTGTGGTCCGTCTTTACAACGACAGTCAGTGGTTACAGGGCTTTCAGATTAAAAATAAACATACAAATGAGTTCAAATCAATAGCCAGGCCTCCTGATGACACACTAAAGGCTGATTTATACTTCTGCGTCAAACACCGGCGTATGCTACGGTGCTGACGCATAGCCCTTCGCCGTGGCTGTCGCCGTCACTGACGTGCACGTCTCAAAAAATGTAACTACACGTCACAACAACGCATAGCGCAAGCTCTGTGATTGGTCGGCTTGGTGGCGCTGACGAGTCAGGGCGGGACCGAGACCCGCGCCAATGGTGCGAGCGATTGTTAACAAGTGTGGAGTCCCGTGAAGGAGCTCCGGATGGAAAGTTTTGTTTTGTGTTTACCTCATAGTTAAAGTTGTTGCACGTCCGCCGGTTCCTGCCTCAAAATGAGCGAGTTTGAGCCACTTGTACATCCAGGAAGTGTTCAGGAAAAGCAAAACAGCAGCGAAGAAACTCGACACAGAGGAACATTTACACCTCACTGCCAACTAGCGTTTCGTAAGTGTTAATTCAGACCAACAGAGACAGCGCGCAGAAGTATAAATGCACAGCCACGCGCGTTGCATGCGCCGTGAGTTACGCCGGTCACTTGACGCAGAAGTATAAACCAGGCTTAAGGTGTTGTGAAGCAAATCGATTAACCTGGATAAGTAATATAACATTATTTACAATATTATTAGCTTTAATCCACAGCCTGATCAAACAGTCCTCGATGCATGCTGCCATAAAAGCGACAGGAAGTACATTCAAAGAAATTGAATGACTTTAAAGTGAAGTAAAATCTCTCATAACTGATCAAATGTGTTTGCTTTCTCTCCGTTGTGGCTCCTCATGTGTTTGTAGATGTATATTAACCGTGTGAAACTCTTCCCACACTCAGTACACGTGTAGGGCCTCTCCGTAGTGTGAATGAGCTCATGTACTTTCACATCACCTGACTGACTGAACCTCTTGTTGCAGTGTGAACACACGTACGGCTTCTCGCCGGTGTGGATCTGCCGGTGTCGCTTGAGTTCTGCGGCTCTAACAAAAGTCTTCTTGCACTCGAAGCACACAAACTCTTTCACGCCAGTGTGGACGTGCTGATGGTCCTTTAATTGTGACCGCTGTGAAAACCTCTTTCCACACGAGGAGCACGAATGAGGCTTGTCGTTTGTGTGAAGTCTGAGATGGTTCTTCAGCACTGAAGGCCTCAAAAACGTCTTGCCGCACTGATCGCACTTGTGCGGTTTCTCTCCAGTGTGGATCTTCAGATGTAAATAGAGGTTGGATGGTTTTGAGAAGTTCTTCCCACACTGAGGACACGTGCACGGTTTCTCTCCGGTGTGGATCCTCTGATGTTTTCGTAAATGCGACTGCTGTATGAAGCTCTTTCCACACCAAGAGCAGGAGTGTATCTTCTCCTTTGCATGAACACTAAGGTGGTCCTTTATATCTTCACTCAGTTCTTCAGTCTCCTCCTCCTTCACAATCATGTCTGAAATTTAAGTAAACAAAGTACATTTTAAGAGAGAAATCTGAAGTAGGTGATGCAAGCGAAGAGTTCAGATGCAAAAGCCGCTAAACGCCACTTCCCCCAAAAATGAGTGAATGCTTTAGGTACGTAGTACACCATCAACAAATATTTTTACTTTAAATCATATAAATCTTATGTTTAGGCGAGGCAGTGGCACAGTAGGTAGTGCTGTCGCCTCACAACAAAATGGTCGCTGGTTCGAACCTCGACTCAGTTGGCGTTTCTGTGTGGAGTTTGCATGTTCTCCCTGCCTTCGTTTGGGTTTCCTCTGGGTGCTCTGGTTTCCCCCACAAGTCCAAAGACATGCATTACAGGTGAATTGGGTAGGCTAAATTGTCCGTAGTGTATGAGTGTGTGAATGTATGTGTGGATGTTTCCTAGAGATGGGTTGCAGCTGGAAGGGCATCCGCTGCATAAAAACTTGCTGGATAAGTTGGCGGTTCATTCCGCTGTGGCGACCCCGGATTAATAAAGCGACTAAGCCGACAAGAAAATGAATGAATGAATCCTAAGTCTAGTCTTCTAAACCGAGATCTATTCAGATATTTACAGTTGTGGGACTATTATTTAAAAGGAATACAGGATGAGGACTGGAACAACCAGCATTTTCATTAAGAAATACAAGAAAAGGATGACTTAAACGATTTCTAAATTATATAGAGCAGTAGTTCTCTAATTTTTTTTATCAAGTACCACCTCAGAAAAAAACTGTCTCTCCAAGTATCACCAAAAATGAGCAGTATTGAAAATACAGTAGTGTAGTAGGCGCAGTAAAGCATCTACAACTCTGCACAGTTAAAAAAAACGTGGCAGATTACCTCAGAAATATAGGCTTTATGTCATATATGACATGTCATATACATCATTTTTGATACATTTTGAAATGTGTGCAGCATGTACATGACATATTTCATTCTTCCACGTACCACTAGAAGGAAGCCTGCGTACCACAGTTTGAGAACCACTGTTATAGAGGAATAAGTAATTCTAGAGGACTCTCAACAGACTATATAAGACTAAAATGGGAAAATGAAGCAGGCATTGTTCTGAATCAAGACCAATGGGTTAAAATATGTGCCACACACCTCAACAAGTTCAAGAGTGTGGCGTGAGTTTTGTTGGAAAAACTTAAGACTTTTATTACACCAAAAATTAAATCATTACAATCGGGGACTACTCATTCTTGTTGGAGGAACTGTGGGGTAAAAGAGGCACATCATGTGCATTAGAGCTGCACCATTCTGGCTAAAATGAGAATCGCGAAATTTTTTTTTTGTTGCCTAAAATAAAGATCACGATTTCCTCACGATTCTGTAGATATAAAATGGAGGTTAATATGAGTGGGCTATTATTATTGTTATTCTCAAACATAGCTGTGTAGCTGTACTATTGGTTAAAATGCTACATTTTGTTTAGACTTGGAATGGAGAACTTGAACAGACTTTAGATTCGTCCTGGTCATTAATGCTGATGTTGAATTATAGTGTTTGAGACATACGCTTACAATCTGTCATTGTCTGTTTAGAATCTGTCACTGACGTGATTTTCGTGAATACAGAAGACAGGGTGGGTACTTTTGCATTTCGGCAGGTTTTGGATGCTTTTGGGGCTGGAATCAGTCAGCTACTTCTGGCAACACTGTGCGCTTTCGGTTTCATTTTCACTGCTAGGAGCGGTTCACGTCCCGCGCGGCTCCCAAACGATCACTCTGTGCCACAAACTGAATGTTATTTCCAACTTTATTACCTGTTATTCACAGCCTATGCAGGTTCTGTTTACTAAAGTAGACTTCATTCAGAGGCTCGCGCGTGACCGCCCTCTTTGTGTGACGGTCAGCTCAGGTCACGTGTGATTTTGCTGTCACATATACATTACATGAAGACAGAATTTACATTTTTTGAGGTGAATCATATCTTATAAATACAGCATGTGACTCCTTCAACACCATTTGGAGGTTTCCACGTTGCTGAACAACGTATATAACAATGTGAAGACTTGTGCGGCCCGCCATTGCTTCTCTCCTGAACTTGAAAATATGATTGACAGAATCGTAGAAATGCTGGATATAGATTGTCTAGGGCAGGGGTCACCAATCTCGGTCTTGGAGGGCCGGTGTCCCTGCAGGGTTTAGCTCCAACATGCTTCAACACACCTGCCTGGATATTTCAAGTATACCTGGTAAGACGTTGATTAGCTTGTTCAGGTGTGTTTGATTAGAGTTGGAGCTAAGATCTGTGGGACACCGGCCCTCCAGGAACAAGTTTGGTGACCCCTGGTCTAGGGGGTCGAATTGAGATTGCGATCTTTTTACGATTATTTGTGCAGCTCTAATGTGCATATATTCTGGCAGTGCTCAAGAATTAACAGTTTTCAGGACATGGTGCACTCCGCTATCACTATTTTTGGTCTTCACATTCCTAGATTATTTGAAGTACTTTATCTGGGAGATACTCCTATGAAACTTAAAAAGGAAAATAGATATCCGTTTAAGATATTTTTGGCAATGAAAAAAACTGTACAAAAGCACGCACATCCCTCTTAACTGGGTGCTCAGCCAAAAAACGCAAAAAGTGCAAATTAAATGTTAATCAAAGGCGGCAACACCAAGGCTCCAAAAATACAAATTTATTAAATTAAAAAGGCTGACACAGAGCGTGACATTTTTGGAGCCTTGGTGTTGCCGCCTTTGATTAACATTTAAGATATTTTTGGCAACTAATAAAAAAAGCTGCAACCCGGAAATGGTATAAAGAAGAGCCACCAACTAAAGGTGAATGGTTTATAGCAGAAGTTGAGGAAATGGAACAATGACACATGCACTTCGATTACGATTAGAGATCTTTGAAAAGAAATGCAGTAAATGGCTGGCTTTCTCCACAACGACAGTATAATTATTTATGATTTAACATTGACATAATTCTAGAGGTTATGCATTATTGTGAAAATATGTTTGGCAACCTTTTATTATATTTTATACTTATTGTATTTATTTATTTTGATGACTTTGATTTAATAGTTTTATACGTGTATGTATATAGATATACATGTGTGGAATGGATGTATTTGCCTATATACGCACTAATGTATGCATGTGTATATTTATGTATATACGTGTTTTTATTTTTTATTTGTTTGTTTTGTTCTCATTGGTTTAATGAAAAAAAATCATCTAAATCCCAGCATCAGCGCATTCAGAAATAACAGTTTGTTGGCAAAAGCTGCTAAACGCCACTTGTCTTTGACAGCAAATGCCGCTATATCCCGACAAACAATCAGAAGGCTTGAATGGAACCATATGTTTTTAATGTAGTCGCAAGCTGATACGCCGGCTTTTAATAGGAGACTGTTTTATTCCGCTTTCGATTTTAAAAGACAGAGTTTAATAACCTTGATGAGCCTGACCGACTATCAGTCAACGGCAAATAAAAACGTCCCTCACCTCAAAACTCTGTGCATTATAAGAAAAGGAAAACACACTGTACAGTCGGAAGTGTAGCATGCATTCATAATGATTGTTTGCTCAGCGACACTACTTTGAATGAATCTGATTTACTATAGCTGCATTAAAGAGCAACTCCATTTCACGAAAGACACAGTTAAGATGCCTTTGTTTCATCCCGCATGGATGCTATGAAAACGAAAAAGAGACAAAGGTCGTGAGTATGATGAGAATGAATGAACGAATGACAGCTTCTAATGGCCCGTTTCCACCAAGTGGTACAGTTCGGTACGCGTTTATGGCCGTTTCCACTGTGAAAAGGTGTACTAAACCATACCATACCATATTTTCGACACCCAAGGGTACCAAACACGAGAAAGGGTACCAAAAGGCAGAGCTAGACATGCAGCTGAACGCTATTGGTTTACAGAGATACGTCATTCGCTCACGCAACAAGAACAGAATGAAAACAAAAGAGCTGCCATGTTTTAAATACACAGCTGAGAGATAACAGCATATATATATATATATATATATATATATATATATATATATATATATATATATATATATATATATATATATATATATATGCATAGCCCTCTTTGTTTAATAACCTTTTTATTATCTATTAAATGAAACTTCTGAACCTATTTAGAGGAGCCTGATAGAAAATGCTCATTTACAAAAAAAGAGGTCTGCTGGATTTAGAGGGTTTGGCATCTGAACTGTTCATATAAAGAGGAAAAACAGACATAATCGTTAGCTGCAATGCAAAAACTACTCAAAACAGAGACAATGCTGGAAGGCCTGGAACTGTGTATGATTTGCTCACCGTGAAAGTTTTTCGCGTGCTTTCGTAGAGAACACAAATGTTTGAAACTGCTCCCGCATATAGAGCAGTGAAAGGATTTCTCTCTGCTGTGAGTCCTCTGGTGCTGTTTCAGTTGTCCTGAATGAATGAATCTCTTCTCGCATTGCGAACACTTGTAGCGTTTCTCCCCAGTGTGGATCTTCATGTGGACGTTGAGTGTGTATTTGTGCTTGAAACTCTTTCCACACTCAGTGCAGATAAAGCCTTTCAATTCTGTTGTTTCCACCGGAAAATTATCTTCAGTCTCTGACTGAGTTTCAGTTTCACTTTTGACATGATGTTTCCTCTCATCTTCACTCAGCGCTTCACTCTCCTCCTTCACCAGCACATCTGAAAATTAAGCAAGTACCATTTTTAAAGGATAGTTTTTAACAGCAGATGGCGCTCTTGGTCAGTCATAACCAGTTGACCATAATACTTGTTTTTACAAATTGATTTATATGTTAAAAGACACAATTTAGTGCTTAAAACCTAACAACCTGACTGTTCTTCAGCCTCATTGTTGAAGAGTAATGAATAAACACAAACCTATTAGTTCTTCAGTCTCTTCCTGTTTAATTCTGCAGGGTTCTGGATCACTCATCTTCTCACTGTCCTGATGGAGCTTCAGAGGAGTAAACAGAGAATCTGATTTATTTACACTGATTGATGAAATAATCATATTATATTAATATCTTATAGATGACAATAAGATATGTGAATATTTCATTTGTTCAAGTCAGCGGACACCAATAAAATGAACTTAATGTGGCTTTTCGAGAATCTGAAGACATCAGTATAATGAATGAGGGGGAAAACGAGAACTAATGGCAAGAAATAAAGAGTATTTCAGCAGCTCGGATAATATTGATGAGCCTCAAACTAAAAACATTAAAAGGCCATTCAGGACTGGCAGATCTGTTTATTACACACTGAGGGTTTGCAGTATACACTGATTTATATTGTTAATACTTTAAAATTGCCTTTATATGCACATCATGTTTAAATACCAAGTAGGGTTGGGCGATTCATCGAAAAAGTAATCGAAATCTACAATCAGAACCGATAAGCAATCAAATTTTTTAAGTTACTTACCTTACTGCATGGGGAGTCACATGAACCTGCTCTAGTTGTTACTATTGTGTTACTTTGCACTACAATGACCATACATTGCATTATACTGAAATAGTTTTTTTTTTTTTTTTTTAAACATTTGCTTACAGGAGACGCAAGAAATGCACTGTTTAAAATATTAATTACAGAATATAGAAGAGACTTTTAATAGAAAAATCACTGAAAATAGTTTATTTACTTTGCATGATTTTATAAGAATAAAGTGACTTTGTTGTAGGCAAAGTGTGTTTAATTTCAGTTGTTCAACGTTGACGTTCAATAAATGATCATAGATTGTGTGTTTTCTTCAATTATTTTAATAGCCAGTAATGCACTCTTCATTCAGAAATCTCTCACTTGTAATATGTGAGCATATTTACTGTACAAAACCTGTCAGTGAAATATGAAGGCAAAAAATGAAACAAACAACTAAAATAATCGTTCATTAATCGTAATAGAGTTAAAATATTCAAGTAATCGAGATTTTGATTTTAGGCCAAACCGCCCTGCTCTAATACCAAGCTTTTATCCCAATAAGATAATTAGACTGTTAGCAGTAGCACATCTATGCACAGACACTGGGATATCATCAACTTAAGAAAATAAAAAGCACAACAAAGTATTACTTTAACGTTTTCAGCATCAAACTTCATTAATTTACCGCAGTAAATTCTCTTCACAGATCATAATTTGCGATGTAACAAGCGTTAAAAAACAATAACAAAGAAAACCCAAACACATTCACTCATGTTGTCCTCTCAGAGCTGCTCTCTGCCTGCTGTATTGTTTTGGTCAGCAGACACACAGATAGAGGTGAACTCAATGCAGAAACTAGTCGCAGATTCTCGTTTTAATAAACTGTAAAGTGTGTTTTATTGTTGTGTAAACACGAGCAAAAGCGACTCACCCCAGCTCTGAAGACTCTTCTTCTTCTTGTTGTTTAATGGCGGCTGCCAAACGAACGAAAAGTTTCACCGCCACCTACCGGACTGGAGGGAAAGGCACTGATTTTAGGAAAAAAAGAAAGTGAAAGACGCTCTGAAGACTCGACGCTGAATGAACGCGTCGGTGCTGACGTCACCACGGCTAGGATAATTAAAACTGCGCGAAATTAATTTATTCACTATTTTTCAGCTTAGTCCCTTTATTAATCTGGGGTCACCACAGCGGAATGAACCGATAACTTATACAGCATATGTTTTACGCAGTGTATGCCCTTTCAGCTGCAACCCACCTCTGGGAAACATCCACACACACTCCTTCACACTCATACACTACAGACAATTTAGTTTACCCAATTCACCTGTATTGCATGTCTTTGGACTGTGGGGGAAACCAGGCCACCCGGAGGAAACCCTATGCTGGATAAGTTGGGGGTTCATTCCGCTGTGGCATACCCCCAGATTAATAAAGGGACTAAGCTGAAAAGAAAATGAATGAATGAGCTGATTAATTCAAAATAGTAAGACTTTGGCTTTATAAATATAGTCTGTATAATGATGACTGTGATTTGAACACCAGTCCAGAATTTATGAAACATACTGGAGTCAAACCAATGAATATTCCACTGCATTAATGGACATTACATCAGGGCCGGATTGGCTAATCGGGAAGACCAGGAGAATTCCCGGTGGGCCGGTCCACTTTTTGGCCGCGAGGGCCGGCGTCCCTACCTGCTTGCACTCTCAGCAGTCGCACTCTTTTCATTTATTTATTCATTTCACCATAGCCTCACTCTTTTTAGTCATTATTTTGCTGCAGCTTTTTTTATTTATTTTCCCGCAGCCCCGTGAGCAAAATGCAGCCTGCAGCTTATTGATGATGTAATCATTCCACCTCAAACATCGGCATATTAGTGAATATAAGAATTTGAATAATTAATATTAATGAATATTACACCTGCTCAACGAAAATCAGATGATTCACTACATTACGTAATCTCACATGACTTGATCAGAAATCTAAAAAGGGGAGAAAAAGATTACGCCATCAATAGAAAGTAATAATGTGGTTAAAAGAGTCCTGCAGATAACAGTGCAATACTTTATTCCGAACACACCAGCATAACAGCACCATTGTGGTCCAGTGGTCAGCAAGTTTCGTTATGACGCCACCGACACGAGTTCAAACCTCACTTGAGTAATTATTTTTTTATTGTTGTGACATATAATACAGTGATATAATATTACATATAATATTGTTGAACATTTGAAGTTCTAAAGCAGCTGTTTCCTTGAAAAAGAAGTGATACTGTCATTAGAAACTAAATTGACCTTATTTTAATATAGTCAGTCGTGAACTGAGGTGGGCCGGTCTAAAGCTTGAAACTCCAGGGCTGAAAAGAAGTCCAACTCTGACCCTGCATTACATTATTATTATTGATCAACGCATGCACTATTTACAGATGATTGGAGTTCATTAACATACACACTAGGGTTCGGCGGTGTCGACCAATTTGGCATTGTGCGATGTCGTAGGTGGCGGTGAATAAATTATTCATGAATAATTAATTAATTCATAACAAATTAATTATTCGTAGCGTACCGTTTCAACTACCTGATCCGCATGATGTTTGTTTTTATCCATAACCAAATCATAAACAAATAAAGAGAAGTTGCACACTAATAACCACCGGTCAATCACTTTTTCGGCAGGACTCTGGCATTACTAGGCAGACTGATCTGTGTCGTTATAATCCCGTCTGCAAACTTGGTTGGTAAAAAAAAGATGCACAACCAATAACATCTGAGGTTTACGCTAAAAAGACTAATGCCTCAGACTGCGTGATTTTAGCCCCGATTTTGGCTCGCCGACAGGTTTTGAGAAATCGCCGACAAATGCCTGAAATCGCCGGCAAATCGCTGCTCGTGCACGTGAGTGACAATCACACAGTATGAACAATCAAAGACACGATCTGAGAGAATCGCCAATGCCTGCGAGATATATGGCGTGCTGAATATCTGGAGCTGTCGGCGATTCAAATCATGCCGTGTGAATTGAGTTTTGACTTAAAATAACATCAGCGATCGCCTACAGCCAATGAGAGAGCAGCATTCACTTGTGTGTGCGTGTGTGTGTACCTGCTGCAGGCCAGCGGGAGGCTGGGGGAGAAGTTAAAAGCGCTCTTTTTCGGTTTATTTGGACCCACGAAATGGAGGAAAAACTAGTGGAGGTTTGACAGGACTCAGGAGCACCCGTGTCTGTTTGACGTTTCATACAGAAAGAAATTAGTTTATTATCAACATTGAGGAGAAATGGCTAATTCCCTTTAAACCCAGGTGAGCAAACATGTACATGTCCTACCCCATTAAAGGCTTCTTTCTCATTATGTAGTTAATAACAAAAGATTTATGACGTGTTTTTGGCTGCGAGACGTAGTTTGGACGAAGTTGCCGGCGATTTTTCCAATAGTAAAGTCATGCAATGTGAAAGTCCCTGTCGCCAATACATCTTGCAGTGTAAACAAAGCAGCGACGAAACGCTAGCCCAGATAGTCAAGCAGTGTGAAAACATCTGTGACACGACTACTCTGAAAATCATGCAGTCTGAACTCGGCAAAAGTACAAGCATGAAAGTGAAAGACTGAAGCAGTTTACTGACGCTGTGACATGTTACCTGATAGATTCAAAAGAGTGAAGAGTTGCTAGATACAGACAAGATTAATTTAATATCTCGTTTAACAACTATAGTGAGACACAATCCAGTGGTACATCCTTGATAAACTTTCCGACATGCACTGCTTTCTAGGGTTTTGTGCACAAAGCACCCGCTGACTGCCTGGAGCTCAGACGTGTGCATATGCTGCAGCACATGCCTCTGTGTGTGTGGTCACGTGATGTGCGTTTTCAGTGGTATAGACCTTTTTCTTGGAACGCAAAATTGCCCATGATGCTTTGCGTGTATGCGCAAGGAGAATGCGAAGAACTTCCGGTCGGCAGCTGATGCGTGTAAACGGTCACATTTCGACAGCTTTAAAACGATAGTTTTAATCTATTTTACCTGCTTTTATCCTCTTTGAACTAATACTGTTGTCCATCAGCAGCATCTCCTGGACTGATCATTTAAAGAAATGCCATCTAATGTGATGGAAAACAGCTGCTGTGAGGCGTTTCCCCCTCGTTGTCAGACGGCATCTTCTGCAGTTTAAATGAAGCCTCGTCATCGCTAAAGTCAACATTTTCTCTTTATTTCAAACATATAACCAGCCCAAACTAATGTAGTTCACCAAAATGTTTGACACACACACACGTAGCCTGTACTGTGCCACTGACACACTGATTTAATAACTGCGACAAAGTGAAAATATAGGCGAGTGTCATTTCGAAATCACAGAAAAACACAAACCGTGGTGAAAACAACACACGAAATAAAACACAAACGGCTCGCGATTAGAATGAACAGCAGATCAGCCAGCAGAGGATCAATAACAGACTTTTATTGCTCATTTTAGTAAATTGCACGACTTTCATACCTGTTAAGTTTCATGCCAGTACTCTAGTTCGCGCTCTCTCTCTGTGTGTGTGTGTGTGTGTTAAAGAGCCGCTGAGCTAACAGCTGACAGGCCGGGAACACACACTGTATTTCTGACAGCAGACACGTGAACTAGGAGAACGTTTTTCTCGTATTTCTGACGCGCTTGAACCACATGTGACAGATTCTAACGGCTTTAACAGACACATTTCTAAGTTGTGTGTCACAAAAACACTCTGTTATCCATTAAAAACGTTATTGAAACCCATTTTCGGATCGCAAATGACCAGTTGTACACGCTGTAAACAGAAGTTTTTAGCATTCTACCAGAAGACGCTGCTCGCTATGGCGCCCACCATGCAGCAGCCATGAGAAAGGTCTATAGTGATAATGAAGATCTGCAAGATGAAACGCCAGTGTGGACGTGGATCAATTTAGTTTTTAAAAGGGCATTTAAAACTAAGACGTATTTGTGTAAACAAGGCCTAAATGTGTGTTTTTGTGAGCAGGTTGCTGCTCTGACGGGTGCGGATCAGAGGATCGCGATGCCAGCTCAGCATTGTGATGTTTATCGGCCATTGGCTATCGGCCAAACAACCCAACCCTAATATACACGCGTTTGACAAATATGAAGTTTGGTCCTTCAGCTCTGAAAATGTTTTGCTGCATTGATCACATTTGCATTTTCCCTCCAGTGTGGATCTTGATGTGTTTTTGAAGGTGTGATGATCGTCTGAAACTCCTCCCACACTGAGCGCACGTGTACGGTTTCTCTCCAGTGTGGATCATCTGGTGTGTTTTCAGGTGTCCTGAATTTCTGAACGTCTTGTCGCAGTGGGAACACTTGTAGGGTTTCTCTCCAGTGTGAATCCTCTGG